AATCACTTGTGGAGGTGCCGATTAAGTGTACACCGAAAAAAAGATTATGTCACCGCATCTAGATAACGTAGCGAAAAAAGGGCAAACGCGTTGAATCGCGTTCGTATTGAATGAGGTGAAAAAGCTGTGCTGACCATCCCTTTTGTTAGCTGGTGATGTCTACGCGCGGTGTAGTGGTGTGTTGTATTGTCCTGTGTGGTCATCTGGTGTGGTATATTGGTGAGTATATGGTGGGCTTTACTAGGGTGCGCCAGTTTTTAACGATTAGAGTGGTGTGGTTATTTACTGAGTCTTAGCCCATTTAACCCAATTCAATTTACAAAGGATTGGATATGGTGTGAGTAATGGAAGAGCTATATGTACGTCTGGTTATAAAGAAAATATTTAAACATAAACGTATATCCCTCATTAGTTCTTACATTCATTGGTACGATGTCATATCTTAAAAGTTTAAAATTTCACTTCGCAGAAAAGATGAAACTTGCACAATTTTTTTTAACATGCCACCCCTAAAATCCTCAAGGAATAACAAATTTTAAAATTAATGCACCTTTAATAGTGTCATTAATATGGTAATTCGCAGAGGCTTAAATTTTACTCGTTTTACGAATCGTCGTAATTGCGTTTGCTTTGAAATTGGAAAGTCATAATTTTACATTCCATATGGCATAGCAAAATTTAAAATTTGTTCACATCGGCCGTGTGCCAAACGGTAGAAAAATTAAAATTCTGACTGATGAAAGTGAAAATGTGACATTTTTCCTGGTGAATATGAATGTCAGAATTTTACCAGCTCAAGAGCCGACTTATATAAGTGAATACGGATATGCATTCCCGATCAAGCGAGTTTAAGAGAACCGCTGCATACATACCATGAGCCCGTATGTTATAATATATTGTGGCAAACACGAATACCAGAACAATTTGGAATTGACGATAATCTGCCAAAAGCAACTAGACAGCGAACTCGTTGTTGCCAGAATGTTCTAGTAGCGAACTTTTGTTAAACATTTACTATTTAAGGGCTGCCGGATTGTGCAGCAAACGCAGTTCTAATTTGAGTGTTGCCGTGTAAAGAGCTATAAGCAATAAGTTCTAAACTCGAATAACGAGCAAAAAGTGTTAAGTTGTTGGAATTAGAAATCAAGATAAGTGCATAGCATTAAATTGGGAATTTAATTTAACAATCCAGTAATCGAATTCAAGAATGAGTTGCAAAAGAGACGATTTGTCGAGAAATCCGTTACAATATGTTCATAATTACTCATTTGCTTATTCAATATTCACACACTCACATTCTTTATGTCAGTTGTGACGTTCAGTTTACTTGTAAACTAATGACAGTAAATTGACTGTCAATGTTTACAGGTTTTTCGTAAGTAAATTTTGTATACGCCAAAAAGAGACAGAACAGGATTTAAGGGGTTACATAGGTCTTGAAACTTCAAAAAATTAATTTTTTTGATAAAATTTATTATAATAGTACAAAGTGTCAGGAATATTTTTCCCAAGTTCCAAGTCGATCGAGACGAAACTGTAGAAATTAGAGAGTTTTATAACCCGCCGTCTTTGTCATGGCTTGACCGAAAAAAAAAAACTTTAAACGCGTTTTTCTTAAAACCACTTTATCGAAATCGGTAGTCAAAATTTCTCAACGACTATTGAAGCGATCGAGTTCAAATTTTCCACACTTATTTTAAGCATGTTTTTGTAGTCCCTGAACGAAGGATTTATTTTATCTTTGATTTCAACTCATTTTACAAGCCAATATGTGGCCTAATTTTATGCAAAAAATTACGGTTATTGTAAAAAACGCTACAAAAAGTTCAATTTTTAATTTTTTTGATTTTTCTTCGTTCAGGGACAAGGAAAATTCACCTTCTTTTAGAAAAAAATTGGATTTTTGATTTTAGATAAAAATTAAAAAAGTTATCATGACTACCGCTAAAGCACTTTCTTGTGGACGGTCTACTTCACGACACTGCCAACGAATTAACTTATACTATTTTTCATTCAAATTTTCATCAAATATTGTCCACATATTTCATTTTTATATGTAAACAAAATAAATTGTATACTCTATGTAGTATCTTTTTAAAAATTAGAGAAAATAAGCTTATTTTTGGCCTTTAAGACTTATGTAACCCCTTAAAGAAGTTGTGAAATACATAGTGGTTATTCCTTGCCATAAACCAAAAGTGTTAGACGCTTCTGTGAAATAACTCTTTTAGGTTTTGTGTTAAAAATATACATTTTACACATATATAATATACGATAGTTAAATAAGTTTCGAATATAACTGAATTATTAGTAAATTATAATTTTTATTTAGTAATTTTTAAATTTGGAAAAGTCCATGAATTGAAGAAAGTCGCACGCAGAGGCATTGAGAGGAGCCAGCATGGAATCAAGTGAAAGTTTTTTATAAATTATGTTTAATTCTATTCTTCTTTAATTAAAACCTTCAAATGTATTTAAAGTAATAAAAATTATTTATATGTCTTCTGCGCAAAAGTATAGATATATCGTGAATCAATTGCGAATAGCCATTTACATTAGTTTTTGCACAAGGCACTTAAGTAAATGATAGAAACTTTGTTCTGCAGATTAACAAAAAATTTTCAAGAGAGATTCTGTCCACTCAGGTCTTCTAGACTCAATTGAATTATCTCGATCGAGAAACTTTTCGGCCTGCAGACCGGTCTTAAACTACGCTACACCAATATGGTCGCCTGCATTTAGTGCAACGCAGACGAAGAAGCTGCAGACATGTCAAAACACTGCACTCCGGACTGTCATGGGATGCCCTTTGATGTCCCCAATCGAACACAATCCAACAATAGTGACCACCCCTACAATCGTCTGCTTGAAGCGGAACCACCTTCCAGGAACATCAACAGGTCCTTCCATGATTGCGTCGAAGACATTGAGGAAGACCTCGAATTGTCTCGGGAATCTAGAGTGACCCTTGCGCAACTTCATTTTGGATACTGCAATAGGTTAAACTCCTACTTATCCAGAATCGACACCGACATACCAAATATAAGTCCTGCACGTAATGAGTCTCCGCATGAAATTAACAACCTCTTTGCATGCCTAACGAACCCCACTCATTTAACACCCATTTCCCTATGGTACGACCCCGTCGAAACAACTCGTTTTCTGGGCCTCCCGTTAGATGACCTCACGACAACCAAACCGAAACTTACCACTCATGCGGCGATTAGATAACCGTTACAACAACAACAACAGCCGCTTGGCTGATTGCTTCGTATGTTTCCAGCAACGTTTCTTTGTCTTTTCCTCATTAGCTGTTTGCTACCGATTCGAAATGACATTAAGAGTCAGTTTATAATCCTTCATCCAGTTCGAGAATGTGGTGGCTATGGATTTAGTGGGGAAAGTGTCAGACTTCTTGCAGAGAAGAAGCGAGAAATATTGGTCAGATAGCTGTTTAATTTCAAACACATGTCATTAATTCCATTGCCTGACGTTAATATCGTACAATCAACTGCTTGTGCGATGAAGGTTATTCCCTCTGGTGGTTGAGGGAGTTTCGAAATATAGAAATTAAATAGTGGCATGGAGAGAACAGGACCCTTCACAAGACAAATATTCACAAGACAAATATTCAAACGACTCAAAGTTTTATGTTCCATTTGGTATATTAATATGTAAAATTTGTTTACACTGTAGGTAACTTTTTTACCCTTTTTCAACACAGAGTCATCATAGTAACTTTTTCACCCCTATTCAATACACAGAGGAAATTTAATCATTGATATACAGCCTAAGATGAAATATATTACTATTTTAACGGATTGTAAATTGAAGCCTCAATTTTCTTTCTTCTTTTTCAATTATCTTTATTTCTAAACAACTTATCGCTTTAATACTCGTTATCCAACCTTACAACTTTTTACTAATCAAACATTTATTCCTTACTCGTCAGCACTTTAACTAAAACTATGTCTGCTATCATTTCAGCAGCACTTATAAAGTACAGATCGTTACCAAAACTAGCAATTACAAATTTCGCTGTCGGGAGATTCTCTTTTTCCTAGCAAGTCACGGCAACCGAGACTTCAATATATTGAAACAAGTTTGCGCATCATAAGACCTTTGCGTAGGAAAGAGAACGATTACAGGCACTCAATAGTTTCGGTTAGAATTGTCAATTTGCCTTAAAAAGTAATATACACTTTAACAGATATATGTATCTGGTAGCGATTTTGGTGTTTAACCAGTAACTTAGCCGATAGATGGTTTGCTTGTTCTGGCATTTGTGTTCGTCACACTTTTATATGTAACTGCAATAATTTTTGGGTCGGCTTTAGAGTACCGTCCTAGAATTTCGTAGGAGGATCAAGAATATATAGCGATATAGCCGCAGGAAGCCTACAGTTTTCCAGATATTTGAGTTCAAATTTGAAAAGTTCAACTATTTAAAGTACGTATTTTTTCCTATTTAAAATTAATTTACCACTTTTATATCCACTAGTACCTCACTAATTCGTTTTTACACATTTATTTTACATTATATTCACGCAATAATAAAAGGGTTGCAAAATGACAAATAACCAGTGTTACATATTACACATAAAAATTTAATTAAGAAATTATTTCAATATAATAAAACGAAACTGTTTGTAGTTTCTTGTAAAAGTAGCAATAATAATATCCTTTACAGAACAATTATTTTAAAGATGGTGAATTAGAGTAGTGTTAGGGGATATAAAAGTGAAATATAAAAGTGTTACATTAATTTTAAATCAAACAAATACATTCTGTATGGGATGTTGATGTTTTGAAATTTTTAACTCTAAACGCAAATATCTCGAAATCTATAAGTTTTCCGCGGCTATATATGTATATATTCTTGATCTGGAGGATCTGCTCTATCCGCCCATATCCATTTTATTCTCGAAATCCTGGGATTGTATTCTAAAGTTTTCCCTAATTTTCTTTATTGACGTGCATGATCAGCTTAAGACAAGGGAACGTAGTAAAATAATTTATCGGCGACAACTTGAATTGATATTTATCGTTCCAGTGTAACATCAACTAACAAATTAAAATGATACAGTGGAGTTAGATAAAAAGATATGTTAAAACATTTGTTAGTGGTTATTATAGCTATTTCTGCTTGTGGTTTTCTTTACGGGATATATAATTATAATGTAGAAGTTGAGTCCAATGCTTGTCAAATGACGTACATGTTTGCACCACCTCAGTTCTCGGTATGTACTAATTGAAGAAATAGCTCGGCTTTAGTATAGCGTCCCGAATTCGGGTATAAAATGGATATGGACGGATAGATATATTATCCAGTTTAAGAATATATTAATATATCCGCAGGAGATTAATGGTCAATTCACATAGAACTGTTTTGACAGTGATGTACGCTTTTGTATGAGTACGTTCACATAAAAAGTTTTCGACGGGAAGCCAAGCAGAATCGGACAACTCCAATCTTTTTATGCTTTGCCAATTAACCGTCGCCATTTTTTTAAGTTCAATGAGGCAAACTCTGTAAATTTTAGAATAGCATTCTCCGAATTCGGGGATATAATGGGTATCTACGGATAGAGTGGTTCTCCAGATAAAGGATATACCTATATGCATACTTATTTTGGGTCGGCTTTAGAATAACGTCCCACGCTTTTGTGGATAAAATGGGTATGGGCTGATAGAGGAGATCCTCCAGATCAAGAATATATAGTCGCGGGAAACTTATAGTTTTCGAGATATTTACGTTTAAAGTTGAAAATTTCAACTATTTAAAGTACGTATTTTTGCGATTTAAAATGAATTATACACTTATATTTTACACTTTTATATCCACTAACACTTGAATAATTCGTTTTTAGAATTTTTTATTATATTAGATGCTGCAAAAATAGCTTTATTTCAATATTTAAATCATTCTGCAATTTTATTAATTTTGACAATAACAAAATGGTTGTGAATGTCAAAACATCAGTGTTGCCATACTAATATATTTTGTAAACGAAGAAAAATAAAATAAACAGAGAGATTGTACCCTAGATACAGGAAACAACGCAAAAAGAATTTCTGCGCGTAAAAACTTTGGTACACCCCGGTGTTGGATTCACCAGGGTTATTTTTTTTTAAACGCGGCCTAAGGCCGCCTACGCAAAAAGAAGTTCTGCGCGAAAAATATTTTGATACACCCCGGTGTTGGACCGACCAGGGTTATTTTTTTTGAAGCGCGGCCGAAGGCCGCCAACGCAAAAAGAAGTTCTAAAAGTTAAAAGTAATATTGTCATAGAGGGTATAACATAATACTTAACATCAATGCTTTGTAATAGTTTATTTCTCTAGGTTTCTCTTCCCGCCCATACCCACACTAAAGTTTTCCCCTTATTTTTGCTGAAGTATGTGTTTTGAGATATATACATTTAAAGTTAAAAAATTCAACAATTTTAAGTGTTTCTTTCATTTATAATGATTTTACCCAAATATTTTTAATTTGTGTGTATACTAAAACTTCACTAAGGAATAAAGAAAACAGATAATAACCCAATAGCAGGACATAAATAACGCGTTATTAGTTTTAGGAAAACTTTAGAATACGGTTTCAGGCTTTCGGGGATAAAATGGGTATAGGCGGATAGAGGAGATAAGAATATACATACATATATAGATATAGCCGTGGGAAACTTATAGTTTTCAAGGTATTTACGTTTAAAGTTGGAAATTTCAACTATTTAAAGTACGTATTTTTTCGATTTAAAATGAAATATACACTTATATTTCACTATTATATCCACTAACACTTCTCTAATTCGGTTTTACACATTTTTTTACATAATATATTTCAAAAATAGTTCAATTCAATATAAAAATCATTGTTAAATTTGATTAATTCTGACAATAACGAAAGGGTTGCAAAATGTGAAATAACCAGTCCTACCGTATCGACATCTTTTGCAAATCAACTAAAATAAATTAAAACAGATAATACCCCAAATACAGGAATCCAAAACCTAGAAAAATAAAAGGGTCGGCTTTAGTATACCATCCACGATTTCAAGGTTAAGAGGGTTATTATTGGATAGAGGATAGGATAGGAGATTCTCCAAATCACGAATATATATAATTATAGCCGCCGAAAACTTATAGTATTCGAGATACTTCACTATAATGTTTCTACATATTTATTTCATATTATTTATTTTAATATTTGCTTTAAATAAACATTTTATTTCAACACAATTTTTGTTATATGCACAATAAAAAATGTGTTCTATATTGACAGATAATAAGTGTTGCCATATCTATTCTATATATATATATTTATATTTTGCAAACGAATTAAAATGAATAATAGAGGATTATACGCCAAATACATAAACTATGTTGTTGTTGTTGGTGTTGTAACGGTTATCTAGTCCCCGCTTGGATGGTAAGTGATAGTTTGATTGTCGTCGAGGTCATCTAATGGGTGGCCCAAGAAACGGGCTGTTTCGACGGGGTCGTACCATAGGGAAAAGGGTGTTAGATGAGTTGGGTTTGTTGGGCATGCAAAGAGGTGGTTAGTATCATGCGGTTCCTCATTGCAGGCAGCACATATGTTTAGTATGTCGGGGTCTATTCTGGATAAGTAGGAGTTTGACCTGCTACAATATCCAGAACGAAGTTTAGCGAGGGTCACTCTGGTTTCGAGGGGCAACTCGAGCTCTATGTCTGCTATAGGTGGTGGTTTAACTCCTAGTACGCCATTCACTGAGAGGGAGTCGATAAAGGTCTTAATGGCTCCACTGTGAATGGCGGTCAGTGCTTGTCTGTAGCTCGTTGCGTCCGAAGTCCGGTCGGCGTACTGTCTAATGTCGTCGACGTAATAAAGGAATGACCTCTTGATTTTCCTAGGAGGCGGTTCCATTTCAATCAGGCGACTGCAGGGGTGATTTATGCGGAAACACCTTAGCAGTAACTGCTTGGAGAGGAGCTCGTTATGTTCCTTAACCGGAAGCATAAGGGCCTCACTATGTAGGTGTTCGATTGGGGACATCAAGAGGCACCCCGTGATAGTCCGGAGTGCAGTGTTTTGACAAAACTGAAGCTTCCTCGTCTGTGTTACACTACATCCAGGCGACCAAATTGGTGACGCGTAGTTTGGGACCGGCCGGCCGATTGCCTTGTATGTTGCCAACACGTTTCTTTGTCTTTTCCACAAGAACTGCCGACAAACGACTTGAGGATTTTGTTGCGGCTCTGTACTTTGGCAGTTATCGCGGTCGTGTGGGAAGTGAAGGAGCACATACTGTCCAATGTGACGCCTAAAATTTTAGGGTTATTAACTGTCGGAATTTTTGTGCCATCGACTGAAATGTTCAGGTCCAGTCTGTACTCCTTCGTCCAATTTGTGAAGATGGTCCCTGTGGATTTAGTGGGGAAGAGTGTTACGCTCCTTGCACAGAAGAAGCGAGAAAGATCGGAGAGGTAGCTGTTTACTTTTGAGCACATGCCATCGATTCCATTGGCCGACGTCAATATCGTGCAGTCATCAGCGTACGAGGTCACTGTATAGAAACTAAACAGTAGTGGAGAGAGGACACCACCCTGCGGAACCCCCTGTTTAATTTTTCTAAGTTTGGAGTTTTGACCTCGAAATAGTACGGATGAATCCCGGTCGCTCAGGTAGTTCATAGTCCACCGCTTCAGCCCTGGAGGGAGCGTTGATTGTTCCAGGTCCTCAAGTAGGGTTGCGTGATTGACTGTGTCAAAAGCTTTTGACAAGTCCAACGCTACGAGGATCGTCCTCTCGCAGGGTGGCTTCTGGTTCAGGCCATGAACGCCATATCTGGGCGTTTATGACGCTAAGTGCTGTGGTGGTGGTGTGCACTTTTCGGAAGCCATGCTGATGGTCTGCTAGACTAAGGTGGTGAGTGAATGACGGGAGGAACAAGACCTCCAGTGTCTTCACTACTGGGGAAAGGAGAATTATCGGGCGATAAGACTCCTCTTTGTTGGCGGGTTTCCCAGGTTTCAGTAGTGGGACCACTCTTCCGACTTTCCACACATCGGGTATTTGAAGAGGGGATATCGACAGGTTGAGGGCCTTGGTGAGATAATTTACTCCCGTTGAGCTTAGATGTTTTAGCATCAGCATGTTTATTCCGTCATTGGCCCAATGGATGTAGACGATTTGGCCTATGTGATGACACTCTGAACCTCCCCATCGGTGAAAGTCAGTGGTGCGCAGTCTTTTGGCATTTCGCGCAGCTGTTGGGTAACACATCCTTTGCCCTTGTCGGTCGAAGCGTACAGTTGTTGTTGTTGTTGTAACGGTTACCTAATCCCCGTTTGGGTGATAAATTCTAGATTCGTTGTCGTCGAGGTCATCTAACGGAAGGCCCAGGAAACGAGCTGTTTCGACGGGGTCGGACAATAGGGAGAGGGGTATTAGATGAGTGGGGTTTGTTGGGCATGCAAAGAGGTGGTTAGTGTCATGCGGAGACTCATTGCACGCAAGACATGCATTGCATGTTGGGGTCTATTCTGGATAAGTAGGAGTTTAGCCTGCTTCAGTGTCCAGAACGAAGTTGCGCGAGGGTCACTCTAGATTCGCGAGGCAACTCGAGCTCTGTGTCTGCTATGGGTGGTGGTTTGACTCGTATTACGCCATTCACTGAGAGGGAGTCGGTGAAGGTGTTAATGGCTCCACTGTGAATGGCGGTCAGTGCCTGTCTGAAGTTAGTTGCGTCCGAAGTCTGGTCGGCGTACTGTCTAATGTCGTCGACGTAGTCAAGGAAGGACCTCTTGATGTTCCTAGGAGGCGGCTCCGCTGCAAGCAGGCGACTACAGGGGTGGTTTCTACGAAAACATCCCAGCAGAAACTGCTTGGAGAGGAGCTCGTTATGTTCCTTAACCCGAAGCATACGGGCCTCACTATGTAGGTGTTCGATTGGAGACATCAAGAGGCATCCCGTGATAGTGGGGAGTGCAGTGTTCTGGCAGGTCTGAAGCTTCTTCTTCTACGTGTCACTGCATCCAGGCGACCATATTGCGGCTGCATAATTAAGGACCGGCCGGCCGATTGCCTTCTATGTTGCCAACAACGTTTCTTTGTCCTTTCCCCATGAGCTGCCGGCAAGCGACTTGAGGATTTTGTTGCGGCTCTGTACTTTGGCAGTTATCGCGGTCGTATGAGGAGTGAAAGAGCACAGACTGTCCAAAGTGACGCCTAAAATTTTAGGGTTATTTACTGTCGGAA